TATATAACTGATTCTGTGACCAGGTACTGTATGAACTTGCTATAACATGAATTATGTAATACATCTAGTCCATTTCTTTCATACCTATAACAGATAAAATGGCACTACTTGTAGGTTAACAGATGAGGAGCCATGGTTCCAGCATTTCCATTCCTTTGCTTGGAGAACACTGAGCTAAGAACTCTGTAATGAGGTCGCTCACCATCAGAACCTAAAAATGTGCATAAACGTGTGAAGACGTGGTCAGGTTTGGCCTCCTAGATATAAACAAATTTTGAGTATACAGACTATAATTTAAAAATAGCATGTACTGTATTTTTCCGTGTATAAAATGAGACTTTTAACTTAAATAATTAGACAAAAAATTGAGGTTCGTTTTATACACGGAAGGCAGTCACTTTCCCTTCCTTTTGCGAAGCCACAGGGGAATGCAGCCATAAAAGGGCTTCAGGATCAAAGGGGTGCAATTGTGCAAATTTTCTAATTTGGGGTTAGAAAAGGGGAGATTGTCTTATACATTGGGTCGTCTTATAAATGGAAAAATATGATATGTCTATAGAAGCAATGTTGTTTATGTGTTGCCAAAATATGAAGGAACAAAAGTGATTGGCAGGTTGTTTATGTGTTGCCAAAATATGATGGAACAAAGTGATTGGCATGCATATTGTCAGCCTTCGTGATGCTGCTGAAAGGTATATTTCTATGTAGTGTTTCAGAGAGGTGGATGTGCAGGGCTGGCTCTGAACAAGGCCAGTTTTAGACTTACTTGTAATGCACAGAGATACACCACCACAGTAGGCAAACATATCTAAATTGAATTAATATTTATTAGCCAAAATCCTTTTGCCTAGTGTGGCGTCCACCCTCGTGCCCCTTCGCTTGACCTTCAAGCCCCAGAGCACACGAAATCAAACACTCTCCTTTTACACTTGCTGCCACCAGGTGATCTCTAAATCACCATTACTTCAGAAAGATTCAGGTCCACACTTCAGTTGTTTTAAAGTAAAACTTTGGTTTATTGATTACATAGATTGATTCATATCTTCAGTAGCTAATCACTCCTAAATTTCCTAAACCACACGCCCTATTATTTATTTGTTGAACTTATATGCCGCCCACACTACGCGAAGGTCTCTGTCTGGCTTTTCTCTCCTGCCAGACTCTTACATTTCTCTCACTAACTCTATCTGACTTAAACTCTCTTAATCTTCACACACTCTGACTGAAATCTTGACTCAGGTTCCGCATCTTATAGCATGTGTCTCGGCTCCGCCTCTCTGCAACATTAATATTCATAAACCATTATATTATATAACCAAGACCAGTGGTTCTTAACGTGGGCAATAATGCCCCCAGGGGGCGATTTCATTTTTCAGGGGGGCGGTAGAACAAAAGGGGCGGTGTGGGGGCGAAAGAACAGAAGGGGGGCGCTGGAGCGAGCCAAACCTGTGAAGGCGACTGTAGCTGCAGTGCTGACAGTAGAGCCGGTGCTGCTGCTGCCGCCAGATGATCCAGCTCTTTCTACCTGCCACGTCTCGCCTTTCTCCTTTAGGGGAGCACTGCGTGTGGATCGGGCGGAAGGAAAGGGTCTCTTGGGTCCTCATCCTCGCCCCGTGAAGCGCTGCCTCACACCCAGGTGGGGAGGGAGACTAGGTAGGTAGGTAGGTAGGTAGGTAGGTAAGAAAGATATCACCTCAGGGAGGGGGGGCGATGATAACTTCCTCCATGGCTCAAGGGGACATTTCTTTCAAAAAGGTTAAGAACCACTGACATAGACCATAGAGAACGCTACACCTAGTTAAACCAGCATAAGTGCTGGAGGTGAATTGCTTCAGTTCAAGAAATCACTGTAGACATTATTTGTTGTGTACTGGGTGGTGTAGCTCAGTAGGCAATGGATACAGTGATTGTTTAGCTGCAGTTCACCTCCAGAGGTTGCACTGTTAGTGTGACACTAGTATACTTGTGCAAGAGGATTTTGGCCATAGTGGTCAAACTCCTGAGAAGATTCAGTATGAAAGATATAACTAATTATTAGGCCTCACTCTAGGAATTCTTAATAAAAAAAACCCTGCTCCCATTGGAATTAAATAATGACCTTTTCTGTTTGTAATCTTGAACCCTACATAGTCATAGAGTTCATTGTTTTCCATAACAGTAGGAGGCCTAACCATGACTGACAAGAATCCCAGGGAGGTCCTTATAGTATATAAATGCTCATGTTTATAATGCTGTATTTACTTTCCTTTTCATAATGGTAAGCATTTTGCTAATATTGACTAAAACTTGACAAAAAATTATGTGGGCTTTTTTCGTGCTTCTTTATAGGAATGGAAAGTTCAGATTTTCCCAGCAATGATGTTAAAAATAGCCTCTGTGTTTGTGTAAATTTGAGCATTTAATTGCTCTTACCCAATTTTGCAGCAGTACTGAAAGAATTTTAAGGTCCATTTTCACAGTATTGTAAGTGTTGAATTATTGCCTATGAAATGTATATATTTTGTGAGAGATTTGTTTATTTATGGTTCTTTGCTACTCTTTGGGTATCAACTATCTTTTATATTAATTGTTTTTGGTCATTGATATTAAAAGGAGAATCTTCTAAATACATACTTGGAAATCATAATTACCAAACAAATGACTGCTCTGATGGTATGGGACTTAGTAATCACAGTTCAGTGAAGAAGTACAAAAATCATGAATTGATTTTGTTCAGTTCCTGGATAGAATTACCTTTTCAGTTACCTCTTTCTTGTATTGCATGCAGTAGGTTGATATAGTGGTACACATAACAGTTTCCCATCATGGATCAGATTGTAGAGCCAAATTGTAGTACAGTCCATTCTGTAAAACAACAGACATACAGTTTTCCTGCAGTTGTATCCTTTGGTATAGGCTTATTTGCTGTCACTTAACCAAAATGCATGCACACTCACTTCCAGGCAAGTGAAACCTTCAGTTAGAATTATTCAGATAATCACATATAAATAAGGGAAGGGGAGGGAGAGTTTTCTGAGGAACATACCATGTACAGTATGTGGAATCATTTTTGTTGCTCTCTTTTTGGTGTCTGAAGATGTTTGATCCATATAAAGGTGTCATCATGTATGTGTGGCTTTTGTTGCTGCTGTTTTCAACTTCTGTTTCTTCCAGAAAACTTTTGTTTGTAGCATTTGGTTGGCCAGTCTGCCAGAGAGCATCAGGTATGTTGAGGGTACCCTAGACAGTGGTTTAAGCTGCACTGTGTAGTGTATAATTAAGAGGTGATGTAGTCAAACCAAATTGTTAAGGATGAGATGAAACTGTTTAGAACAGGATTTATTTTTAGCATATTGTTCTATTTTTTTCTATTATGGTTCTGTACCTTTCATTTTCCTTTTGTTTCTGTGCACATCAGAATTATTTCATTTTATATTAGCCTTATCACCTTAGACCCTGTATCAGAGTGAAGAAGTTTCTTTTAAAGGTTGAAATTCTTCTTCACAGTAATTGACTATTCATTCCAGTAGTAAGTCTAATAGAATTGTGTGATTGAAACAGTGGGGATTTGATGAGTCAACATCTGTGCAAGTTCTACACATTCAGTTGGCCTACTTTAGCTGCAGCATACTATTGGATTTCAGCCATTATGTTTAAAAGGAGGAGCCAATGGGTATTTTTGTGTGTTTCTCATTGTATGTCAGTTGCAAAACACTTAGATTCTGTTTCTCCCAGCAAGAACTGATTCTGCTGCCCAATTGAAATGCCATGAGACTTACACTGCTATAGGAACTAAGAAGTAATGATTATGTGTTCGTGGGTAGAGTACTAAAGAATTGTTTCTATGCCAAATCTTTATCATGCATGGTAATATTCATGAACTTTATTGTTTGAAAACAGTGTTGGTTCCATTGCTGGTTTCTGATGCCAGCTGTTTGGTGTTCACGTTGGGTTGATATTCTGATACACATTTTGAGAAGTACTATCAAAATAGCTATAACAGACCAGTTGGCTAAAAGCAGAATATAAGGTACATTGCCACGCAAGCTGACTGCAGCCCAGAAGCACAGGAACACTGGGTGCTGTCTTACACTGGGCCTGACCAATAGTCCATCTAGCCCCCCCTTTTTTTTTTAACTAAGATTTCACGCAGGATACTCTGGTGGTATTGTTGGGAAATACCAGGAATAAAACCTAGGACCTTTTGCATTGTTACATCATTAGTGTCAAAACCTTCTGGTAAAATATTCAAGAATAATTCTGGTGTCATAGAGACATAATTTGTAAAGATTGTTTTCATTTATATTCCAGCAGAGTCAGCTAAATGGTCAGATGGAACTTTTTAACCACTGACTTTACGTTTTGTTAACTTCTTTTATTTGCCATCACTTGCTACATTTAAACGGAAAACTGGCTAGTTGCAGTTGGTGTTATTCCCACAATGGAGACTAAAAATAGTATTTCCTTTTGCATGCTGACTATAGTTTTGTATGTCTGTTAACTCTGTAGTGACATTGGAAAGAACTACACTGAAAGGGCAAAGCTTCATTCAGTGCCAAGAAACTTACTAAAAAGTTAAGATGTTGAGCTTTTTTTCTGATACAGTGTACCCTTGACTTACAGACAGCTTGACTTACAGACTTTTTGAGTTACAGACTTCTCTGGCCGCAAAATTTAGGTTTGACTTGCAGACTGAGATTTGACTTACGGACCAGAAAAAAACCAAAATGGAACAAAAACGGCCTGTTACGGGATTAATCGGTTTTCAATGCACTGTAGGTCAATGGAGACTTGACTTACAGACTTTTTGACTTGAGAACTGCCTTCCAATACGGATTAAGTTCTCAAGTCAAGACCCCACTGTAGCTTTTCTGGCATTATAGCTCTATTCTTCTGTGTCTTAATTCTTTTGTTGTAGGAAACAATTCAGATATTTTCCATTTCTGTATTAGGTCAACAAGCTAAGTTTACTGAAAGCTTATTTGAAACATCTGCTTTATTTTGTGTTTTCATTTTAACAGGTTTGGGTAAAACAAAGAGAAAGACAAGTGCCAGAGATGCTTCACCAACTCCTAGTACTGATGCAGAATATCCATCCAATGGTAGCAGTGCTGATCGGATTTATGACCTCAACATCCCAGCATATGTCAAATTTGCCTACGTGGCAGAGAGGGAGGATGAACTGTCTCTGGTGAAAGGATCTCGAGTCATTGTTATGGAAAAATGCAGCGATGGCTGGTGGAGAGGGAGCTACAATGGACAAATTGGCTGGTTTCCTTCAAACTATGTTGTAGAAGAAGTTGAGGAGGCAACTGCTGATTCACCAAGTTTCCTAAGTTTGAGGAAGGGAGCATCTATGAGTAACGGTCAGGCCATGAAAGTACTTCACATTGTTCAGACGCTATATCCATTCAGTTCTGCTACAGAAGAAGAGCTCAACTTCGAAAAGGGTGAAACCATGGAAGTCATAGAGAAACCTGAAAATGACCCAGAATGGTGGAAATGTAAAAATTCCCGAGGGCAAATTGGTCTTGTTCCTAAAAACTATGTAGTAATCTTAAGTGATGGTCCTGCCATTAACGCTTCCCATCCACCTCAGATAAGCTACACGGGGCCCTCTTCTACAGGACGGTTTGCAGGAAGAGAATGGTATTATGGGAATGTTACTCGGCATCAGGCAGAATGTGCGCTAAATGAAAGGGGAGTGGAAGGGGACTTCCTCGTCAGAGACAGTGAGTCTTCGGTAAGTGGTCTTTGTGTCAGAATTTGAATGCTGTAAAGTAGTTGATTTAGGTTTTTGCATACAAGGCTTCATGCAGTGGATATGGAAAGCAGAGAAAGCAAAATTTCTCCTGTTGTAAAGAGAGGATATGTTAGTATAGTTGTTACATGAATAGACTTCTAATTCATTTGGAAAAACAGAGCAGCAAGCATGCAACATAAAGGCCTTCTTGAAATGAAACATGGCTGGAATTTTAGATCATTTTCATTTTATGCCTCTAAAATGATTTGAGAGTGGGTGTGAAGATTTCTATCTGAAAAGGAAGTTTCTGTGAAGATTTGCATTGGTAAATTATTTCACAAAATAGCTTGTGGCTGCAATGATATAGATTGTTTATGACAATCTATTGGTGAGAAATGTTTAATTCAGTTTGATTATGAGTGGGCGAGACATTTTTGGTCTATTTTGATTTGTGCCTTTTCTATTATTAATCCTACCCATATGAAAATGCTCTAGTGTGCCATCTTAATTTGAGCAGGTTGTGCCAAAAAAATATATATTAAAGCTCCCTCAATGCTTGCTACATTTGCTCTTCTATTTCTGGCCTTTTGATATAGGAAGCTTCTGAGAAGGCTATGTTGGACTCTTGCAGCATAACAGCCAAGGGGGCGCCAGTCTGAGTGATTGTTTGGGAATGTAATTGTCATGAAGTTTAAATGTACATGTCATGGCAGCCAAAGGCTCCTGTGGCAGCTTAAAACAGGGAATTCAGAATATGTCCCTTCTAGCGCTCTTGGACTGCAACTCCTAGAACACTAGTTAGCCAGTATAGCCAGCAGCGAGAAATGCTGGGATTTCAAGTTCAATATTATTTGCAGGAACATGTGTTGGCCACCTGTCTATTGAGACTTAACTGCTTCCTTGCAGCAGCAGGTGTCATTGGATACAGCTGAGTAACCTTCAGCTCTTCTGAGATGGGCTCTCTCTCTCACCACTTCCTGTGGGTTTCACAGCCTCCACCTCAGGATGGACTGGTCTTAACCAACCACAAATGACAAATCTAGAATTTTAGTCAGTTTTAAATCTGTAAACAACCCTGCTTATTTCAATAATTATTTTAGTATTCCTTCTAATTGGTTCTGGTTATGTTGCTCCAAACTGGTGTATCAGTTGCATTTTATAGACAAAATGCATTGCAACATGTATAAAGCAGAGTTCTAGAATTTTCTGTATCGTAGTTTTCTAGATTTATGCTTTATTTGGCTACTTAAGAAACAGCTGTGCTACAAAATCTTGGTTGGCAGAAGGGTATCTACCCACTAGATTCTGGTATAGGTTTTTCTTCCCAAGTCTCAAATAGAAGCCATGCACACTTACCTAGGAATAAGCCTTCCAGAACATAGTCTGACCAACATCTGGATAAACAAACACAGGATTTTTTGCTGGCAGCAGGTGACAAAGATGACTCATGTACACTTAATTGTGATAATTTATGATTTCAGTCGTCATGCTGCCAATGCAAATTTGCAGTTTTGCAGTAGCTGTTCTACAGGAAACTGGCATTCCAGGCCCACTGCCCCCCCCAACAAAAGTAGCATAGCACCATAACAAGAAAAAAAAAAAGATGTTAATGAAAGGGGAACATTTTTATCATAGTATTTCAGATAATATCTTCTTGATATTGAAATGTTTATTGATCTTATGCATGAAAGTTGGAGAGATGGCTCCAGAGGAGTATATTGTCTGAAACACATTGGAACTGCCTTTTTTTAAAAAAAATGGAGGTCAGTCTGTTTCAGACAATATCCTCTTTCTCACATTCTGGTGTTTCTTCTTCCATTTTCTTCAGTGCTTTTTTTGTATTTACACAATAGGTATCTAGAGCTAGTTGTTCCTTCTTGCCTATGGCTATGTGTATGTTTATTTGGAAGTTGTGTTTAGTTAGTTAATTTTATCTAAAACAGTTACCCACCTGGTTTTATGTTTTTCCCACCAGAAGGCTTTATGTATCTAAAATTAAAATCTTACAGTGAATAGCTTTGTGCATCCTTATGTATTTGAACGGTGTAGCAAGTATTCACAGGGCATGAAATTAAGAGTAGCTGAACTGGGTGTGAGTGGGGCAAGGGGCACCTTTGCCAGAAATACAATCCACAGCAATAAGTGAAAGAGTGAACTAGAGATCTTTCTGGAACCTGCAAGGGGCACTGCCTACTTTATTTGATTTGCAGTTCTCTCTTTTTAAAATGTACTCATTTAGGTAAAAAATGACAGAACATTGTTTTGGTTGCCAGTCAAGAGAAAGAGCTATGAACAATGTTTGAGGCTTTGTGAGTCCAAGACATAAAAAAATTAATTTCTTACAAATCCTGTTTGAAGTTTTCTCTGCTAGCATGCTGTAGAAGTTATTACCAGAGGTAAATTGATCTATTGGTAGATTTCTGTGTAAATAGTCTGGTGCTAGTCCAACTAGAACACAATAGTAAATAGTACTATAGTTTTAAAAATAATATTTGCAATTGCTAGCTTAAAGCTGCATGTTTCTCTGTTATCCTTAGTATTCCGTTCATAGAATGTAACATGAGAATGAACACAAGACTGAAGACAAAGTTGCATCAGATTCAAGACACATATAGTTTAGCATCCTGTTTAGTACAAGAGCCATCTGTATTGCCTTCAAAAACTTCACAGCTAGAAGCATCCACCCTTTCTCCCTCTTGTTTCACAGTAGATGGAATTCAAACACATTCAGCCTGTGATCTGAAATCCATTGGTGGCTTTATTTCTGTACACATTTGTTTTTCATCACCAGCTAGACAGTGTTACCATATCTTATGACAGGTAATTCCAGGGTTCAGCTATATTCTTATGTATAGGAGAATGCAATCAGATAAATTTTGATTTCATTCAGGGCTCTTATTTCCCAGAATGAACTCCATTTTGATCCAGTTTTTCATCAGACTGCAATTTTTATAGTCCTCTGGAAATTGGTGCATGTTTTTTTTTATATTTTTTAAAATTGTATTTTAGATTGTTTCAAGTTTATGTATTTTCTAAGCAGTTCCAAGTGACAGAAATGTTGCTTTCTGTACATTCTCCCTGATGTACACCTCTACATACGATTTTAACACACATGCATTTTTGTATATTTTTTGTGCATTTCACCCCATTTTTTGTGTATTGATTTGAATAGAAAACAGTTGTGGGTTGTGTTGAGTAAAAATTGCTAAGTTTGAAGAGAAATGCAAACATATAATCCACTTCTCACACATGCCTTGTGAATAAAGCCTTCTTTCTGTCAGTCCTTGTTTTCTTCCAACCAATGTTTCCTCTAATTTTCCAGAGTGGTGCATGGGAGCTCCGCCCTTTGCACATGGGGTTTGGAAGCAGCCAGAAGCAAATGGATGTTAGCACTCGCTTGCCTGCGTGTGCAATACAGCAGTGTGCGCCTGCACAGCTTAGAGGAAATATTACCTCCAACTCTGATACATTTTGCCTTTGTCCAGTAATGCAGAGAGAAAGGCAAAATGTATCTCCACCCACCTTTCTACACCACACACAACTTTTGATAGGCTTCTGTCGTGACCCTCTTCCTTACTCACTTTTTTCATACTCTAAGCATCTTCAAATGTTGTAACCTTTCCTGATGAGAGATTTGCTCCAGCTCCCTGACATTTTAGTTGCTTTTTGGAAGACCTTTTCCAACACTGTGGTCTATTTTTACTAAGTATAGTGACTGGAATTGTACACAGTATTTCAAGCAGAACATACCAAGGCTTATTTGAAAGTGCTGTAATGGGTAGTTTGATTTTTTACTTTTAATAATCCCTAAAACAGAATTTCCCATATTTAAGCTAATGTACAATAGTTTTTTCTTGAATAAACTTACTTATGATCCCCAAATCTCTTTCCTCATTAGTCACTAATTGCAGTCTCATCAATGTGTTTGTGAAGTTAGGATCTTTTTCCTTTTTACTCCTATATGGATTGCTTTACAACTGCTCACATTGAACTGGTTTCTTTATTTTATTGCTCATTCATTCAGTTTTGAGTGCTTCTTTAAAGTTGATTTTCTTTTTATAGCCTTGCATGATTTTGTTTATCACAGACAATGTTTTCGTTCAGCTCTGCTGTTTCCATTGTTGTGTAGGATTGCTTATTAAGTGTAAATTAAAATTTGTAAATCTATATGCAGGCATACCTGCATATGGTGATCTGTGGGGTATAATCGGTGGTTGGTTCTGCCTCGAACTTGCTATTGTTGTAACTTGCTCATGTGGGCAGAAATTGGACTTCTAATAATTTATTTAAAAATCAAATAGATTCCTTATGCCTAATGTCTGTGTCACTTCCCTATTTTATTTTAAACATTTTACTTTTTGAAGAAAGCCACTCTCCTTTATAGATGGTGGTGGGGAGCAATGAATATACATTTTTACCGGAGTTAACAAGCAGCTACCGTATTTTTTGTACCATAAGATGCACTTTTCCCCCACAAAACAGGGGGGTGGAAAGTCTGTGTGTCTTATGGAGTGAAGAAAACAGATTATATTTTCTTTTCTTCTCCTAAAAATTGGTGCGTCTTATGGAAAGGTGTGTCTTATGGAGCGAAAAATACGGTAATTGATTCATGTTCATTACTTACTATGATGATTTTACCCTTAAAAGTAGTGCTTTAGGATTATGCACTATTAGAAGATATTTATGTAGACAGTTATATAAAAATGAAGTATTACGCATAGGGGATATTTAGAAATACAAAAGGAAGAGAGGATTGGATCTAGGGTCTGCATTTCACGGCCAAAAGTTCTTTTCTAAAGATGTTCAGGGACTCTTTCTCTCACACACTCTGTAGTGTATTCAAGAGGTGAGGGAATTGTAGTTTATCTAAAGTAATCTAGTGAGTTCCTGATAGATATAAGATCTGAGTTGCTGTTTCCTGCTCACCACACCTTGTGGTCTTCACCAGGCCCTGAGACATATGAATGAATAAATGTTTTAAAAGAACTACTGTGCAAAAC